GACAAACAAAGCAATAAACACAAAAATTACATCAAATGTTGCATACATGTAGGCGTGTAAGCATTTGCAAAAGCACGTCTGCGTCTTAAGTTCATCACATACAAATAAAGTTGGTGCCTGAGTGAATAAACTTTGATTGTAGACTTGCACATATTAACAGTGATAAACATACATAGACAGTACGCCTCGTGTATTCTGTTAAACAGGCAGGCACTAAGACATTCAGAAAGCCATAAAGGCAGTCAGTCAATCACACCCACAAAAAATTAATTTTCATTTTCGAAATGATTTTTGATTTTAATGAAGGCTTTTCCACCTAACATTCGTATTAAATATGGCGACAATTATATATTTACCAGTCAGGATACTTACTATATTTTATAACATAAGCGAAATCCTTGATGTTATACATTTTGGAAAGCAATTTTTAAGTAATAAAAAGTGTAATGTAATACTTTGGATTAATATCGACAGTTTTTTGTACAATCTTCTTTCGATATGTCAACGCCTTTGGTGATTCCGGAGCTATCCACCGCAGATCTAACTTCTTGTTGTTTTGAAAATGAAAGCAAAGCAGTCATGCTAATGTTCAGTAATATTCTAAGGCTTAAGAAACCATATATGGACTGATAACGCCAATTTTTTGGTTGATGGTCGTTTAAATTTCAATGTTCTTTGTTGTAATAGCTCGGTACCCGCGTAATGACTCGCCGGAAATGGGTCAGCGCAGCTTAGTAACTGAAATGATTGGTTCATTGGCTCGATTACTCTGAGACTCGCTGGCACGATGACTCGCTAACTCACTTTAGCAAACAAACGTATCATAGCCTTACATGAGTACACAAACGTACATATCAGTGTGTAGTCTGTCCTCAGCCTTGTATGGACAAATGCTAAATAGGTCGTTATCCACTTCGGAGTTTTTCCCTCTAATATCGTTCCTTACTCATGCGCTTCTGTGTATGCGTAACTGTGTTCACTTTAATTGTTGTTTAGCATGTTTGGCTTAAACGCTTCAAATTACTGTATATTATCCATTTCCTTTTGTTAAAAGTTTTCAGCGACTTTCGTCCTTGAACCAGCAACATTTTTTCGCTCAACGTTTTTCATCATTTTCTTTCAGTACTGCTTTAGTTTAATAATAATTCACCCCTTTATGTTCGTGGAAAAATCTTTAAGGGCCAAAGAGGAAACCAACAGTCGTCTGCTTGTCGTATCAGTTCCACGAAATCAATCATCGTTGATAAAGTGCCAAACTTAAGAACGGTACTAAAATTTTTAAAAATCTATAAATTTTGATTTAAATTTACTTATAGTTAAAGAATTAAATAAATTTACTAGAAAACATACTGCAATTCCGTTTAAGGCTTCTTTGAAGCTCAAAACATAGTGATATTGTCATAAATAAAAATAGAAACTCTAGTAAAGTATACAGAGACAGAGTGCAAGAAAGAGATTGCAAGCGATAGCTAACTTAACGTTTCCACAACATTTCACCACTAATGGATGCTTGTTTGTTGAAAGCCAAGGGAGTATGAAGAGGAACTGAACCAAAAAGTGAACCATTGTAGTTAAAGAGAAAAAGTGAGAAAAGAAAAGAAAGTGTGAAGCATCGGTACTTCTTCGCAGAAAACCACCATATATTTAGCATAGCTAGAAAGGAAATCCGAAAGATATTGCATGGCGCCATATAATATTTATACTTAATAACAGCCACAACCGTGTTGTAATTTAGTGCTATTTAATTAGTAAAAAAATTTCAGCTAAATTACTTGTTTCCTCGTTCCTCGGGAATCTTTCTCAGTACACCAATCTATCGCCAGTGTCCAGGTTATAAACAGTGTCATACTTTTTTGTCATACTGACATGGAAATCTGACGTTAAGCAAACACGAAACTTCACTTAGTAAATATAATTCCTTACTCTTTTAAAATTAAGCTAGATGCTAGATTATTAAATTTTAGCTGAAATATTTTGGAAAACTATAAGTAAAAGCATATGGTTTTACCTACTCAGAGCATATCAGAGACCGACTGATGTACAAATAAATTACTGGTGATTACCAAAACTTACACACATTTATCTTTATATATAAAACTCACGTATGACGTTGTTTGTCCGCGATGGACTCCTAAACTAGTGCACCGATTTTAGTAAAATTTAGCACACTGTATCCAGATCGAGTCAACTTAGAAGATGGGATGGTGAAAAACATTCATAAATAAAAAAATACAGTGAAAGCTCTATTAACTGGACAGAAAGACTGGTAAACAGATATTGAGAAAGCAGCCTTAAATTCGTTATTTTTTCCAATATAATTTATTTGTATGAATATATTCAAAATTTAATCTCAACTAAAATCCTTTGGCTTCCTATACCGACGAAAACGGTTTCGCATTTATTCGTAAATAAAATTTTCACTGTATTAAATAGTTTATGACAAAAATAATAGTATGAAATATATACCACAGCAGCGCATGGCCGGATGCACTAGTTATTTAATACATTTTGACAAAACTGCCCACTCTAATCACATGCTGGCCAAAGAGATGTAAACGAGTTAAGTAAGAAAATATCTGTCCAAATTCAAATCTTCGAAGCGAATATTTTTCTACTTTATCAATGTCAACAAATACTAAATACCTCAATCCAAAACATTAAACATTTCAACAATTTGAAATTGGTCTTCCTGAACTTTTTAGCTAAATACAACTTAAGACAATATTCAGTTTCGACCAACCTCTTTAATCGTCTTATAAGTTATATATAGTTATAGGAAAAGTTTCAGATGACCATGTAGTTCAACTTGATGTTAAACACAATGTCGTAAGTATTAACAGTAGGCTCTGTGAATTTAAATTGGTTGGACTTCTCACTACTTAGCTATTCAATTGCTCAGTTCTGTATTTTTTGATTAGTCCATAATCAAATTAACAATTTTTATACTCTCGCAACAAAGTTGCTAARGAGAGTATTATAGTTTTGTTCACGTAACGGTTGCTTGTAAGTCCTAAAACTAAAAAAGTCAGATATAGGATTATATATACCAAAGTGATCAGGGTGACGAGTGGAGTTGAAATCCGGATGTCTGTCTGTCCGTCCGTACGTCTGTCCATCTGTCCGTCCATCTGTCCGTTCGTCCATGCAAGCTGTAACTTCAGTAAAAATTTAGATATCATGATGAAAGTTGGTACACGTATTTCTTGGCTCCATAAGAAGGT